AATTAAAATAATATTTTGATGCTTTGTTCCTATTTTTTTTAACGCTTCGTACTGTTATGTTAAATTGTGTCTTCTTCCGGTATTAATGAAACTAGTTGTTCTTCTTCAAGCTTTCTTTCTTGTAACCTTCGCAAGTTCTTTATACGAAGCAACCTTTTGAACGTGAACTGTTTGAAGGAGATATCGTTTAGTGAACGGACACATGATATTGCGACGAAAGAATTTTTTTACATTATATCCCCAGAATATTTTCTCTACATCTCTGCCACATCTCCGCCACATCCCCATGCCTTTCACGCTCCAGACTTCACAACGGCCCTCGCCGTTCCCTAGTTATAGATAAAGCCTTTGATAGTAGATTTTTGATAATTAAAATCTTAAAAGCTATAATTATAGTATTAAAGTCTTTTGAATCAGATATATCTATTTTCTTAATAATTTATTCATATTATCAAATTAAATAGAACAATTTGGTAAATTTTTTGAAAGCATGCATATTATCCTATTATGATGGCCGCTTATTTATTAGATTCATATTTTAGAAAAAAATAGAAATACAGATTTAGAAATGCTGAATTTATAACATTTCTAACAATTTGTTTGGTCAGGAAAAATCTATAATATTGTTTATTGAGCTAGTAAACTTTCATAAAAAACTTCGTCAAATGATAATGACATAATTTGGATGTGAATTCCAGCAATTGGCTATCAAAAAATTTTTTTTAAAATCATCAGCAGCAAAGAGAATTCATTGCAAAATCCAAAATCGATTACGTAATAATCATGTTAAAAAGTTGGTTTATATTATGGAAATCTTTGTTATACGATGAATTCAAAAAAATAAAAGGTATGTAAAAATAAAGATGATAATAATGAAAGTGGCGATGAAAATGACAATGACGATTTATTGGATTTGAATCAAAATGTAATAGATTTGACGCAAAAATATAGCTATTTTTAATAGATATAGTAAATATAATAAAGTTTCGTTTAATAATATTGCGATATATAAAAATTTTAAAATTTATATTACGGTTTGAATTAGAATATGCGTTTTTATGGGTGTGACGCAAGACACGTGAAATATAGTACGCGACGAATAGAATTCACTTGTTTAAATCACGTTATCACAAAATTTTTGTGGGGTCATTTTTCTTAGTGTAACACAAAGCAAGCCCTTTATTTAATCTCAGAAAAATTATTACACCTGATCTTTATTTCTATTCTTGCTTATTTTTTCTTTTACAAAAATAACATAATACAAGATGTCGTTCATAGAATCCGAACAAAAAGTACTTATTAATACGAGAGCAGGTGGTGTGTACATTCCACCTGCTCGGTTACGGCAGATGCAACAGACAATAACTGATAAATCTAGTAAAGAATATCAAAGAATCACATGGGAAGCTCTGAAAAAAAGTATTAATGGGCTCATCAATAAGGTATTTTAATCTTTTGTCTTTTGATCTAATTGATTTATTAAATTAATCAAATCTCAATCTTAGGTCAACACTTCAAATATAAAGAACATTGTTTTTGAGCTGTTTAATGAAAATCTAATTCGTGGTAGAGGTCTTTTTGCTAGATCGATCATGAAAGCACAATCGGCATCCCTACCGTTTACACCTGTATATGCCGCGTTAGTGGCTATTATCAATACTAAGTTACCACAAATTGGCGAATTAGTACTTACTAGATTAATTGTTCAATTTCGTAAAGCATATAGGCGTAATGATAAGGTTTTATTTTATTATTATTTTTTTTAGAGACATTTTTACGATTTGAAATTAACTTTTAATAATCCGAATGTAGACGACTTGTTTAGCCACAACATCTTTTATTGCACATTTATGTAACCATCTGGTATCTCACGAAATCGTCGCATTACAAGTCCTAGTTCTGTTACTTGAACACCCTACTAGTGATTCGGTAGAAGTTGCCGTTGGGTTTATGCGTGAATGTGGTGCTCACTTAGCTGATGTCTCACCAAAGGCGAATAATGATGTCTTTGATCGATTTAGGGCTATTCTACATGAAGCAAATGTAGAAAAAAGAGTTCAATATATGATCGAGGTGCTGTTCCAAGTAAGGAAGGACAAATTTAAAGATAATCCACCAATTCCTTCAGAATTAGATTTGGTCAAGGAAGAGGATCAAATTACTCATCACATATCAATAGATGATGAATTAGATGTTGAAGAAACCCTTGGTATATATATAGTTTATTTTATCTTTTAAATCTTTTTTTTTGAAATTTTTTTTGTTTCGATATGCTAATTATAATTTTCATGATACAGGTGTCTTCAACTTTGATCCAGATTATTTAGAAAGTGAGGAAAAATACAAGGAAATAAAGTCACAAATATTGGGGGAAGATTCTGAAGAAAGTGGTGAAGAATCAGGTTCTGAAGACAGTGATGATAACGAAGAAGATGAGGATGAAGAAGAATTGGCCAAGAAAATGGAAATTCACGATCAAACAAATACCAATTTGATAACGTTGCGAAAGACGATATACTTGACTATCAAATCAAGTCTTGACTTTGAAGAATGTTGTCACAAACTAATGAAACTAAATATTCAAGAAGGACAAGAAGTATGATCTTTTATTTATCACCTATATGTTTTGAAGTCATTTGCTATTTTACCTAATTTTCATTAATAATTATAGACGGAACTTTGCAACATGATAATTGAATGTTGTTCTCAAGAACGTACTTATGAAAAATTTTTCGGTCTCATAGGAGAACGACTTGCAAAGATAAATTCTGTTTGGGCCAAAGCTTTTGAGCAATGCTTTGTTCAATATTACGAAACGATTCATCGGTATGAAACAAATCGATTAAGAAACGTATCAAAATATTTTGGACACCTTTTAGCATCAGATGCTATTTCTTGGGAAGTTTTTAGTGTGATTAAATTGACAGAAGATGATACTACATCAAGTTCTCGAATTTTTGTTAAGATATTATTTGAAGAACTTAGTGGTACTTTAGGTATACCGAAACTTAAAATGAGGTTAAATGACGATACAATGAGCATATATTTCCAAGGTCTTTTTCCAAAGGATCATCCAAGGAATATACGATTTGCAATCAACTATTTTACAAGTATTGGATTAGGTCAATTAACTGAAGGGTTAAGAGAGTATTTAGCGGTAAGGAACATTGATACGACATATATATATATTTTTATTATTATTATTAGTAAATAAATAAACTCTTTACTTTCCACAATTAGAATGCACAAAAACAAATATTGGCGGCAAAACGTAAACGAGAGGATAGTAGTAGCTCATCAGATTCAGATTCGTCATCCGATTCGTCGTCATCATCATCATCGGGTTCATCTGACAGTTAATATACTTGTTATTTCTTTCAGGTAATTCAGGTAATTCAAAATTTCTTAATAAATATATTTATTTCTCGTAAAAATTCCCAAAATTTTGAAAATTTGATTGGATTAAGACAAAAAACCGGTAGAAATAAAAAAATATTTGTGGACAACTTAATCTCGGTATTTATTATGGAAATAACAGGAACTGATCAAGATTTAGATAAAGCTTTTTATTGGTATCAAAACCATCGACTCTGAGAATAAAACGTTCTTACAGTTAACAATCAATTTGATATTAAAATGGTCATTCATGAAATCGATAGATTAAATAATGCATAATATATATATTATATCAAATTTTTAAATAATGTAAGATATATATGTACATATATTGACTCATATAAAACTTGAAAATTAAAGCCCACGATAATTATGGTATGAAACAAATTCATTTTAAAGCAGCAGCTTCTCTTTCTAACCATCGAAGTCCTGAACTATTTTGTTCTAAGAAAGGTGATACTTTTTGAAGACATTCAGCATTATAATCATTAATCCATTTGTGTTCAATAGGATCCAAAAGAGAGGCATCAATAAGTTTTGTCTGAATAGGAACCAAAGTAATATGTTCAAATCCCAAAAATCCACGATCATCAAAATTATGTGGTGTTTCCACCTCTCGAACAAATACGAGAGTTTCAATTCGAATACCAAACTTGCCATCCTCATAATACCCTGGCTCATTAGTTACTGTCATACCTGCTTGAAGGGGTACCTCATTGAATGTAATTCGGGATCCAATTCCATGGGGACCTAATCAATCCAAAATAAATAATTATTCCTTTGTTCTCGTATTTATAATATATGTTATATAATTATTAAACGAAAAAAAAATCTTTACCCTCGTGTACATTCAAATAACATCCAACACCATGCCCTGTACCGTGACGAAAATCCAAACCGTCTCTCCAGAGCGGTGCTCTTGCAAAAACATCCAACAAATATCCTGATATTTTAATTAAAAAAAAAAAAAAAAAAATGATGAGAAATGGCGAGACACAAATAATTGCAAAGTATTTGGATCCATATTCTGGTTTACCTGTAGTGCCTTTCGGAAATATTGCACGGTCGATCGCAATATGCCCTTGGAGGACTCGTGTGAATGCGCGCTTCTCTTGCGCAGTTGGTGTGCCAAAATGTATGGTACGCGTTACATCAGTAGTACCATTTCTAAATTATTTAATAAGTCAAGTATATATACATATACATATATGTAGTAAAAAGGTGAGAAAAAGGTGTTTAAAAAATTACTTGTATTGACCGCCAGAATCACATAGGTAAAGTAAATTTGGATCAATTTTAGCACATGTTTCTGGTTCTGGTTTATAATGTATAATGGCTCCATTAGGTCCTGATGCCGAAATAGTATCAAAGGATAAACCAACAAAATCTTCTTGTTCTCTATTATTGTAAATCTATTGTTAATAATCTTTAGCAATATTAATGTTTGTATTTTGAATTTAATTATCAATAAACTTTTCATACGCTCTAAATTTCTCCAAACGATCTGCTCCATCGATTTCACTTAATTTCTTTCCGGCGGCAAATTGTTCTTCAAGCCATGCGAAATAATTAATCTTAAAATATATATATATAAATAATAAATTAAATTAATTATAAAACAAAGAAATAACTTCGATAAATATAATATATACCACTGCTGCAGCATCTCTGAGATGACATTTCCTTATGCCCTCTAATTCCACTTCATTTTTAATTGCTTTTGCATCCAGGATAGGAGAACGAGTCGTTTCTATATTTTCCTATAAAATCATCCCATTTTTAATTATAAATTCTCGATGTAATCATTTTTACAAAATACCCACTTCGCCAGCAGCCAATGCCAGAGCAAAACTTGTACGGGTACTGATAAGAAGTTTCTATGCATATGCAATAACATATAAAATAATATATTAAGCTCGAAGTTTGAATGTAGTAAAACTCATTAAGAAATCTATAATTTAGTAAACCTGATTATCGCTCTTAAATTTGTCTTGTAAATTACGTAGATCTTCGAAAACAGAATAATAAGGACGAAATCGAATACTGGATCCCAAATGATCCTTGATTTCATCGGATAACTTATTCTCGTCGATATAAAGAACAATATCGTTTTTGGTGATAAGAGCATAAGCAAAAAAAACGGGATTATATTGAACGTCAGAACCACGAAGGTTAAAAAGCCCTTAATTTCACAATAGATAATGTTCGTTACAATTCGCCCCAATTTTTGGGAAGGGGTATAAAATACAGAGAAATAATCTACAAACAAGCAATCTCATCTAGAGCGGATACAACAAAACCATAATAATTTTCTTTGGAAAGCTCTTCTCGAAGTTTCGCGATTTTATCGGTATGAGAGCGTCCTATAAATATAACAAATTATTCTGTAAGTACATTTTACAATAAAATATTTTGCTTCATGTTATAACGCGTTCTTACCAGCATATTTCAATGGTAAAACAATTACCGGATTACATGGACGAGATGGTCTAGCATCTCCCCATACCAAATCGACTAAATTATTTTCAATAGAGACTAACGATGACCCGATTTTTCCAAGCGATTCTTTTAAAGCTTTCGCATCGTCTAGACAATATTTGTAATAGGATCACATTTATATAATTAATTACAAAATTTACTTGCATAAAAAAGTGAAATGCTACTCACTCGCCATAATCAACGTTGGATCGATTCCGATTTTTGAACCTTTAGGAAGATCCTAAAAAATAAATATTTATTTATTTATACTTTGTATTATCTCTGGTATCGACCGAATTGAGGAGAGAAATAAATTGATAAACTACTTGTACTAAATATTCTTGCCAAGTTGGGACATCAGGTAAACCTTGTTTCATCAATGTCCAATTGTGGTCAAGTTGCTTACTGGCCTGCAAAAAATATCGACCATCTGTAAAAAGCGCAGCATCCTTTGTTGATACAACTGCCAAACCTGTTGCAATTATAATTGAGGGTTAATTGCTCGTTTAAAAAAAATAATACAATGAATTTTGATGAATTTGAACAAACCAGCAGAGCCCGTGAAACCGGAAATAAATGCCCTTCGAGCATCACAACTCGCTGTATATTCACTCTGAATAAAAATAATTAATAATCAAAAAAATTATTACTTGACAATAGGCGCGCGCCTTTAAAATAATTAAATTTTAAAGAATCAAAAAAAAAAAATTTATAGAATTAATGAGAACCGTTTAAAATTATTACCTGGTGAGCGTCTTCTGAAGGAATTACACTTGAAAAAAAGCAATGTATTAAAAAAAAAAAAACATTAAATTCAAAATGTATTGAAAGAAAATGTTAAAATGTATCTGTACTTACTACGCAGTTATATCATAATCTCCTCCTTGGAATAAAGATCTAAGCTTTGCTAATCTTTCGGTTGTATTAACAGCTTTTACTTCAAACGCGTCTTTATCGTTAGCCATTGTCTTTGGCTTTAATATGGAAGTATAAGTGTTCAACAATCGAGCTGTAAGACGTGTATTTTGTGCAATAATAATACGTTCAGGTGTGAAAGTTCGAATGAAATTCAAAAAAATCATAAATATTTTAGCATGCCAAGATTTCGTAAGATGAAATCCGAGCCAATTGATTCGACGATCTAACCCTTTGAAAATTATCCGAACAAAAAAAAGTGAAACATTTCTCATTCAATACAAAAAAATTTAAAGATAATGAGCGACGCGTTAACCAACACACTTAACCCAACGACTTCTTCAACGATAACCATTCGTATCATAAAGAATTTTGAATATCGTACAATCAAGAATCTTGTTTTACAGCATGTAAATTTAGAAACAACTACTATCAAAGAGCTAAAGGAACTCGTACGAGAAAGTATTTAATTTATTACTCTTTTTTTTTTTTTTTTTTTTTTTCGAATTTATAATAATCGATGATTTCTTTATTAATAGAGATAAAAACTACATCTGGATTAAAGGCTTTTCGTAATGTGAATTATGGTGAATTTTTGATTTTTATAATCTAATGTTTTACTCATACTAAATGAGCGTTAACTATGTTAATCATTTCTTCATGAAAAAGACACGCTAAAACTTTACACAAAAGCGCATGGAACTAAAGTAATTTTTTAAAAAAATAAATTTTTTTTTTTTTCAAACGATAGATTAATTTCTCCATTATTAGACTCAAAACTTGGCGATAAACATGGATGATGACACAAATTCGATTTTTTTAAATGAAGATGCAACCTTGATTTCATGTGGTATCGGTATGATCTTTCACATTTATATTCTTCGTTAATTTTAAATAGTAAGTTTGTTAATTTTTTTTTTATTCCTTTTTTTTTTTTTCTTAAAAATATTAAAAAAAATGAAACTAAAAGAAAATGAAACAGAAATTTCTTTTTTCAACCGCGAAGCGTATGAAGCTTATAAAATACACCCGGACGTAATTAAATGGGATTAGTAATTAATTTTTTTACAATTTATTATTTAGTTCAATTATAATAATTCTAGTTATATTATTGCAAAAAGGGTAATAAAATAATTTGCGTATAATGGCCCAAATTAATCATTAATATTACTATTATGAATAAAAATATTACCCTTGAATCGAACCCATATTTTCAATTTTATAAATTTCCAGTAAGAATAATTTTTTTTGGAATTCCCCAATGCGAACACCTTCAGATTTTACGAAAAGATTACGAAATGATCCAGTCCGAGTTAATACGTGTCGTATTCGGTAACTCTATCATATATAATATATTTGACAAGGCTACCTTATTACATAATTAACTATAAAGCTTATAAAATAAATAAAGCAAAGGAAGAAAAAAGAAAGGAAGGAAAAGAATAGTCCTCTTATTTTCAAATTCTTTCCCATTATTTCGACAAAAAATTGCTATCCGAATTTGCTGTGGTTTTGTTGCCTTCAACCAATTCTGCGGTAATAAGATTATTCACTTTTGGAAATGAAAGTTCTTCTTCCAATTCATCTTGAGCCCAAACCAACATTTTTATCATATTTGGTAATTTCGGATCTTTTTCTTGACTTTGTGAAATTAGGATTGCAGAATTTAATTCGCTTGCTGTACGTTGACGCTGCGAAGGATGAAGTAAGTCACCAACCGGAGAAACGTTCGTATCATCAAATGCCAATAAAGCCATTGTACGTTCCAATTCTTCTAAAAATTCAGGCTTTTATAAAAACCAATATAAATATATTATTAATGAATTTACTTTTTATTAAAAAAAAAAAAATGTACATCCAAAAGTTTAATCAAAGATAAAATGAATTGGTTACATTTTCTTCTCCACGAGGTGCCAACTCATCTTGAGCAAATTCTAAAGCTTCCGCTATTTTCCCTTCCCGGATATATTCTATCAATCGTTGTTGTTGGAGATGAAAATATAATTTTGGATTTGTATCCAATATCTAATTTTCACAATTAGGACAAAAACAAAAAAAAAAAAAAAAAATTTAATAATAATAATCTTGTAACTTGATACTTAAATATTTGACTAAATTATGTATTAATAAAACTCATATTGAAGACTGAATGGTGTATGAATATCAACATTGACTCCAAAAGAAGTCTGAGAGTGGTGCATGAACACTTTCTAATCATTGTTTTCTTAATCATGAACCTATGAAATAAAAAAATTTTTTTACCTCTGGATTTAAATCATTTACACGTTCAATTGCCTCTTCAACATTCCCATTTTGTATGGCATTCCGAATATTCATACGATCTTGAATGGAATCAACATCAATGCTCGGTGACAACCCGCTCTCTTGACTAAATGTTTCAGCAGCGTCCTTATACCCTTCAATTACGAAATAATTCATTATGAGTTTATTAAGATCACTATAAAAAGTAAATGTTTGTTTATCAATGTAAATCATGAAATATTATGATGAATTAAATATAAGATTTGTAAAACTTACTTTTTGTCGATTTTAACATTCGATAATTTCTTAACCCATTCATCTTTTGTCACGACTTTTTTTTGTGAGGAAGTTCCTACACTAGTCTATAAAGTCGATCAGTTTCGAACGCGAAACATTGTAAACAAAAAGAAGCAAAAAAAAAAATTTACAATAATTCTTTATACTCAACCATTTTGTCAAATTTACTTTTGAATTCAAAAAATATTCTAATCTTTTTTCTTCTTTTTTTTTTTTTTTTTTTTTTTTTTTTTTCTTTTTTTATACTAATAAGGTATATGACGCGGTGACACAAAATGTGATAAACTTAACATGTTACACTACAGATGAAAATAGTTCGCAGATAATCGGAATAAACTGTCAATATGGAATTTTATTTTTCCCCAACAAAAAAAAAAAAAAAAAATTGTGTATAATATACCATTATTTAGAACGTGGTGATTTACTCGCGAAAATTGTTGTTAATAATTATATGAGATGTCGGACAGTGAAGAAGAAAAAGAAGCCAGTTCTAATTATACTAATTCTTATTGCAACATTGCCACTGATTTTTATGAGGTATTCTATGAAAAGAAATTTAACAAAATTAATAATAAAAGCAATGTTATGGTAAATTGGTAAAGTTCTTTACATTCATCAATTCATAAAATGGTTGGGTGAAAGCTTTCATTTCTGCCGATTTTATCCCCGAGAAAACTTTTATCAGGCCATTGCATTATTTGGCCATGCAATTAAATATTAAACCAGGAATGAAAGTTTTGGATGTTGGTCGTGGTGTTGGTAAATATCGGTTTAAAAAAAAAGGAATTGTTATTTTTTTTTATTGTTCTAACCATTTTTTCACCCATAAAAAGGTGGACCTGCGCGTGAAATTTGTCAGTTCACCGGAGCCCATATTACTGGTTTAAATAATATATTATTATCAAATTTGTCGTGCAATTAAATCAGCAGTTAATATGGGGTTAGAAAATAAAACAAAATTTTATCAAGGGTGAATTCATGGAAATGCCATTCGAAGATAATTTTTTAGATGCAGTATATGCCATTGAAGCAACATGTCATGCTCCAAAGTTGGAAGGAGTTTATGGCCAAGTATTTCGCGTTTTAAAACCCGGAGGTACCTTTGCTATTTATGAATGGTGTGTGACTGATAAGTACGATCCAACTAATACTGATCATAGAAGAATTGTTCGTGGAATTGATATAATTAGTCCGGAGCGTAGCGAAAGACTATATAATTTTAAGCTGTTTGTCCGCTCAATAATTGAGTCGATGCTGATTGGCGTTTGCAATTTGCACAAAAGTCTAGATAAAGCATAGTCTAAATGATCCGTATAGAGTAACCATAAATCTGCGGTAGCATATATGCGCAGAAATTTAAGTTTTTCACAGAAGCATATGCTATTACATATATTAGTAAATTAGCATATAGATAAGCAAATCAATGATCGATCTAATTCTTAAAAGAATGGTTTCAGCAACCGAGCGTAGATTTGAACCCAGAATATAAAAAATTTTTATGTTGATGGTCAAAACTCTCGTGAGTTTTGCCAAAAAGTTTTTGATCATAAAAAAAAAATCTACATTTAAAATCAGGAAAACATGAAAAAATAAAAAACATCGCATATTTTAAAAAATTGAACAAAATTTATCGCATTTTTTTACATATTTTATCTTAAAAAACAGGCATTTTTAAAATTGAACACCGCAGATTTAGTCTGTATAAAGTCTATTCTGGGTGACACAAAAATGTCCCGCTCGAAATTTGAGTCGTTCGTGATTGGTCCCTTAACAATGGTGAACGAAGTGAAAGAGATTGCACAAAAATCTCGATAAAGCAAATACCAGTGTGAATTTTTTTAACAAGTTATCAATCATATGAAAAAAAATACTATATTAGGAATTCGTCATATTGATAAGGATTTTAGGTTGAAAGAATGAGAAGCCATTTTATAAAGAAATTTTGATCGGCACATGAATTGATATTAACTTTCTGCATAATCTTTATTGGTATATTTAATTGGATATAAATACTATTTCTTTTATATTCATTATTCGTTTAGGACAAGCCTTATACTTTATTCCATTAAATTATTAGAAAATTGTAATTATTATTTCGATTTTGAATTAAAGAAAATCAATTTTTTTTTTTTTTAATTCGAGAATTTTTGATTAATCACCAAAAAGATCAACAATTAAAACAAGTTTCAATATTATCGGCCTATCAAAACTTAAAATAACATAGCATCTTTTTCCGTGCTGAATTATTGATCAAAAACTTTTTCTAACCATTCTCAACTAGGATCATTATTTTTCGTAACTAAATGATATTCAACATACTCATATTTTGACACGTGATTGTACTAAAAATAATCTTCACGTTGGAATAGCAATTTTACGATCGTAGTTGTGTTCACTTTCAATGAGAAATCGAAGATATCAATTTTGCAAAAGGCAGTAAAATCGCTTAGTTCATACTAATAAGGTATATGACGAGATGACACAAAATGTGATGTTACACCAACAGATGAAAAATAGTACTCAGATAATCAAAATTAACTGTAGTATGGAATTATTTTCCCCTTAATATGTTGTTCTTCCCAACAAAAAAAAAAAAAAAAAAAAAAAAAAAAATTTCTTGTATAATAAACATGTATAAATACAAATAAATAATATATATGGATGAATCCTCCTTTTTTGGGTCAATTTCTTAAAAAATCTCATTTCCATTATCTAACAACAAAATGTCACAAACCTTTGAAGAAGATTTAGCATTCTCGAAGACTTTACATAAGCATGAAGCTGAACGTGGTGGTTTGCTCGCGAAAATTACTTCAAAGGACAAAGAAGCCTTTGAAAATGTTGTTAATAATTATATGAGATACTGGGTCGGTAAGGACCCCATGTCGGAAAGTGAAGAAGAAAAAGAAGCCAGACGCTCTAATTATACTAATATGACCAATTCTTATTACAACATTGCCACTGATTTTTATGAGGTATTCTATGAAAAGAAATTTAACAAAATTAATAATAAAAGCAATGTTATGGTAAAGTGGTTAAAGTTTTTTACATTCATCAATTCATAGTATGGTTGGGGTGAAAGCTTTCATTTCTGCCGATTTTATCCCCGAGAAAACTTTTATCAGGCCATTGCGCGTCATGAGCATTATTTGGCCATGCAATTAAATATTAAGCCAGGAATGAAAGTTTTGGATGTTGGTTGTGGTGTTGGTAAATATCGTTTTAAAAAAAAAAGGGAATTGTTATTTATTTTATTTTTCTAACCATTTTTTCACCCATAAAAGGTGGACCTGCGCGTGAAATTTGTCAATTCACCGGAGCCCATATTACTGGTTTAAATAATAATGATTATCAAATTTGTCGTGCAATGAGATCAGCAGTTAATATAGGGTTAGAAAATAAAACGAATTTTATCAAGGGTGATTTCATGAAAATGCCATTCGAAGATAATTCTTTTGATGCAGTATATGCCATTGAAGCAACATGTCATGCTCCAAAGTTGGAAGGAGTTTATGGTCAAGTATTTCGCGTTTTAAAACCCGGAGGTACCTTTGCTTTTTATGAATGGTGTGTGACTGATAAGTATGATCCAACTAATGCTGATCATAGAAGAATTGTTCGTGGAATTGAGGTAATTTATAAATTTTTAATATTCCCATTGTGTTGTTTTGTATATAACACGTGATGCTCATAATTTGTTCGTTTAGTACGCTGATGGAATTCCCGAATTGTTTAAAACTTCAGAGGCATTACAAGCTTTGAAAAATGCTGGATTTGAAGTTATTTCTGCTGAAGATTTAGCTGTGAATGATGATCAAATTACTTGGTATTATCCATTAGAAGGAGATATGGGAAAGGCTCAATGTATTTGGGATTTCTTTACCGTTTTCCGAATGACACATCTTGGCAAATTTTGTACTAGGGCCTTGGTAAATATTTAATGTTTATAATTTTAATACATATATATATCTCTCTTTTTAATATATCTTTTTGATATATTACTTCAATCACTTAGGTGGGAGGATTAGAAACATTTGGTATAGCACCAACAGGTTCTTTACAAACGCAACGGGTTCTTGAAACTGCCGGTGATTGTTTAGTTGAAGGCGGTAGATTAGGAATTTTCACCCCAATGTATTTAATGGTTGGTAAAAAACCCATGAGTGTCAATTAATGTTCCGTTTCACTTTTAAATTGTATTTATTAATAAAAATGTTTTGTAACCGCGTTTGAGCGCGATGTGCATTTATGTAACCAGATGAAAGATTGTCACGTGATTTTTGTTCAACTGAACATAGTAAAATATATCCGCCTAGTTTAGTTAAAATTTACCTATATTTATAAAAAAAAAATCAACTTCTTTAATGCTTAGATGATGTTACACTAAATAAAATGTGGCTGATAAGGCTTTTTTAATTTTTTTCGTACACGTGAAATACTTTCCAGCCATAAATGTGTGTTTTTTTTTTCCTGATCAATCATACTCAATAATAATGTCTCTTGGAAATAGAGCTTCAGATTTTGCTCATAGAACTTTAGTTATAGCATTGGCTGGTATTGCAGGTAATTCGTAAAAATGAATGTTTTAAATAGTTACAATAGTACTTAATTATTTGTTCTCCCTTTAGTATACTCTTTTGTTGGAGCAGGTGTAATGATAAATCGAAGATTAGATAAAAGTAAAGAAATGTATATGCGTCAAGAATTGGTTCGTTAAAAAAAAAAAAAAATTTAAATCTCAATAAATTCGTTCTTTTTTTTTTTTTTGCGCTCAAATTTCTTTTCTAATAATATCTATTTTAATTAAAAAGCAAAAATTTTCGCAAGATACATCACAAAATTCCGAGAGTATAGTGACGGACGATAATGTTTAAAAAATTACTAAACTACTTTTGCTCGTTTTATTGAATGAATTAAATAAAATAAAATAAAATAAAATTTTGATTTCTTATTCGGAATGCTTTATTTTTTTTTTCTATTTAAACATTATATCCAACTATACTAAATTTACCAAAGATTTCACCTAAAGCAAAGAAACCTGCTACTTCGATACTTCGTATACCAATTTGTATAAAATCTCTTGGACTTAAATCTTTAATACTTTGCCATCGAATAGCTTTAAGATTTTCCCAAGCCTCAGAAAATTGAGCACCGTTTGGTGGACCAAGGCTTTCTTTTTTATAAACTTCTTTAGCAATTTCTTTAAGTACCCTTGCATTGTATACAATTGGTCTTTGATAACCTTTAAATAAATGAGGTGTTAAGTTATTATTAATTTAAAAGTCGTTAGACGTACTATAAGCGAATAAAATACCTGCAACTTTAGACAAGGTGCCTTGAACACCTTTAGCGGTCTTACTAACTTTTTCGGTAACTTGTTGAGTATTCAAATTACGACTACCCGCTCCATATGAATAACGAAGTATTACATTTGAACGGTTTAACAAGGTAGATTTTAAAATGCTTGAGGAAAACATGGTAGCGGAAATCGTTATTTATTAACAAATTTTAAGGAAGAAAAAAATTTTTTTTATTAGGGATAAAATCAATCTTGATGACGACATATATTTATTGGTGGCTTAGTAGTTTACATCAATAAATAAAAAAAAAAAAAAAAAAAACTGATAATTAAAAATAATTTAAAGGTTCGATTTCAACAAGGGATTGATTTCTTTTTCAATTTCTTCAGGCTAGAAATTTTTTAAAAAAAATAAAAAACGAATCATAAATTAAAAAGATTGCATTAAATATATCTTTTTTTTTTTTTGTATTTTTTAATTTTTTTTTTTTTTACCAACCTTAACCTTAGAAGGAAACCTTTTTATAACGTTGCCGTTTTTATCAATCAAGAATTTCTCAAAGTTCCATTTGATATCGCCAGATTGTTGAGATTTCAAATATTCGTAAACGGATGATGCGTTAGTACCGTTAACATCAATTTTTGCAAATATAGGGAAAGTAACATTATAATTTGTAGAACAAAATTGAACAATTTCTAATGGTTTTATAAAAATTTATAAAAATTTAACAATCATTGGTTAAGATTATTCTTTGGAAAAAAATAAAAATAAAAAAAAAACATTACCTTCTTCGGTTCCTGGTTCTTGAGAACCAAATTGATTACACGGAAAACCGGCAATGACTAAACCTTCGCCTTTATATTTATTATAAAGGCTTTCAAGTCCCGAATATTGTGGGGTAAATCCACATTTTGATGCTACATTAACAAGCAATACAACTTTTCCTCGCCATTCAGCAAAGCTGAAAGGTGCTTTCTTGAAATCGGAAGCTTCAAGGTCATAAAATCCTGTCATCGTAGAAAATTTTTTTATAAAACCGTTATTTTTTCGAAAAGTTTTTAACGGGAAAGATGAATTTGTAGATAAGATTTTTAAAGAGAAGAGTGAGGAAGCATTTGTGGTTGATGTGGCTTTTAATGCAGATGGGAAAAATAGATATTGATTGCGAATCATTTTTGTTTAGATATCGGATACCATTAATGGTGTCATTGATAGATTAATATATATACAATCCGTGGGTAAAAATTCATTAACTGTTCATGGTAATAGATTGTAACCAATGTTTTACTAACTTCACGTGACCGATATTAAAATGAATAAATATCATGTGGAGAAATTCGAAACGTCTCAATTTTTTTAAAAAACATTGTTCCGATATGGTGATTTTATTTTTAAAAGAAATTCAAAAGGGCAAATTTTATGAATGCCCATCGCGTTTTTGAATGATATTATGGAAATTGTTTGGAACATATTATGAGAGTATTCATTAAATGCGTAGAAATGTAATGATTTATATTATTTATGCACTGTTTAAATTACTAATCCATTTGAAAATAAAAAGATCATTTTAAAATAAAACATTAATAGTCCTTATTTTTATTACTTTATCAAAAGGATATTTTTTTTTTTGTTATACACCTTTTTTTTTATTTTTTCGGATGTTTATTATTGATTTCAATATTAGATCTAATACTACTTATACTGAGATCGATATATTAAAAAATCTTAAAGCAGAACATTGTATTTCTTTGTATTTTTATAGAAAGATTGGTTCCCTATATTCTGTTTAATTAATAGGAAAAAAAGACTTACCAACGTTATATATTTTATATCCAATCAACTCATTGTAAATATATTAGAATCATCTGTTTCCAAATCATGCATTTAGGAAAGATATAAATTTATAAAAAGTAAATCATATAACTAAGCATTAGAAAAAGTTTACATAATATAATAATATATTTATAAAGAATTTATTGGCTAGTTTCTTTTCTAGTAGGGTTCCGATATTTGAATATTACGATTATTCAAATCGATTATTTAAATTAGTATTAGTAAAAAAAAAAGCTATATCCCCCCGTGTTTTAACCAATGTTGCTTTGTAAGATTATTCCGAAATTTGGAGGCGCATTTTACTTGTCTTTTCTCAATTAAGCTTCAGAAATAACCTTTTTTTAATTTTTAATTTTAATTTTTTTTTAGTTTGGTGATTTTTACAAAAATTTCTGTTTTTAAAATAGTTGACAAAAAATGAAAGTAAAGAATATTTTTTTTTAAATAATCACATAATAATAATGATAATAAGCATGTTTTAAAAAAAAATTTTTTTTTTGATATTTATAAAAAAAAATGAAATATATGATATAAGATAACAAATTATATTATAATTAATCTTAATAAAAATATTTTATTTTACTAACAATGTTCATTATTTCCTATAGTATTATTTCAAAATTTTATTTTTAAAAGGCAACTCAAATCCAATCCTTTGTTTAATATAAAGATATAAAACAGTTTCAAATAATTTTGTAATTTCTAGTTATAAAAAATATAATTGCTTATTTATAATAAATAACTCTTATTAAAAAAATTATTATTAATAATTTTAAAAGTAAAATAAGTTTTAAGATTAATAAGATATTTAAATTAAAGTCTAATTTGTAAAATATAGTCTAAAATTTTAATAATAAAGATTTTGGATTTCTAAATATACTTTATTATTTATTTTTAATAATATTTTATTAAAAAGTAATATATAATATCAGTAAAAATAAAAATCTTTTCTAAAATTAGCAATTTTATTAGAATTTTAAGATTACTTAGCATCATTAACCTAATATATAATCTTTCTTTTAATAAAATATAAAAGGTAATTAAATAATAAATAAATTATTTCAATTTAATTAGTTTAATTTAATTACTTAAATTATTATTAAATTAATTGTATTTTATTATTAGATTGATTAAAATTTTCCATTAGTATATACCTTAACCCAGATCCTGAATATTGTCTTAATAAAATAATATACTGTCTAGCCATATGAAGTGTCTCAAAGCCAATGTATATAGAAGAACAGTGTGCAACATAAATAAAACGTGTTTTTGATCCTTGTTAAAGTGTATATAATGTAATAAGTGATACATCACAAATCATATGTAATTTTATGTGACTGCTTGTGCGACTAATTAATTTTCACACATAAGAAATTGATCTTTAAATATTTTCTGATCTATCTGAATAGCATTTATTTGAGTTTATTTCTTCTGAAGCATTGCATTACTACAGGTTATTTTTACTAGATTCTGACCAGAGTATATTTATATAATGTTACTAGGCCTTTATTACTGAGCGGTTGAGCAAGTAAAATAAAAAAGTATGTATATGCATACTCCTTAACGTCTTTACAATGTTGAAATCTACAATGTATATTCCGCATGTCTTACTCTTAAACATAAAATTTTAGCATAAAGTGCCTCGCATATTTCTTTTATTTCTTTCCTCAACATGAAGAGAATGTGAAAAATGGTAGCATTTAAAGGGCGGTATAAAAATTTATGTTTAAATCATTGAAAATCACATTATAACATATATTTTTATTAATATTTTTTACTATGTCAAATTTAGTAGCCAAGGTTGAAGCTCTTTTATTACAAAAATCATTAAATACTCTTTGTAAGGCGTCTATTATTTATTTAACAATAGAGGATAATATCTTTCCTCTATATAATGATATATGAGAAATAGTTGAATGAGCAGTAACTTCATCATTAGCGAAGTTAATAGATTTTAAGCGAAGAACTAAGGTATTAGAAATATTACCACAGATATGATACAAATCAGATTTTTATTATTTATTTACGTCTTCAATAATGAGCTTATAGTAGATATAATTTTTAGTTTTAGTATATCATAGCTAAAGGTCAGGAAGTATTAGCCCAGAAAAGTGATGTTCTCTAGATGTTGAGGATTTCTGCTTTTCTTTGACTATGCGTAACTATTCAGTTAAAACAATGTTATCTAAAATACATTTGAAAACATATGTGTGGAGATTGTATATAATTTATGAATTTAGGTTAGGCTAATATACTAGTACTTTTTTATTACATTTACTGTAGATAGAGAGTGAATATCAGTGTTCATAAGTTAAAAGCATTAAAGGTGTTAAATATGGAAAAAGAAGCATCTTTAGACTATATCTAAAAAGAGATAGAACAGAATCTTTTTATGTTGAAGTATAAATTTAAAGTAATTTTCAAAAGTTTAGTATTTTTTCTGTCTGACTAATTTCGTTAACTAAATATATACTTAGCATCCTTTATCAGAGGCAGATGTAAATCTTTATGGCTCTCTCAAATAAAATTTAGCAAATATTACCCCTTCTGACCTCATATATAAAGATTCTGAAGGAAGCATAGTTCTAAATGATAATTCTGATATAATAAAAAATTTGAGACGTAAATAAAAAACTATCTTTATAAAATTACGCAAAATTATAAAGTGTGAACTCTCTAATTCAGTTGTGGTTAAGTACGATAAGTTGTAAAAGATTTCAACAATTCCAGCATATCTAAAATTATAAGAAATAAATTTTATGATAAAAGATGAAAAGAAAGTGAAACTGAACTAGTGAAAGTAGTGAAATATATTTTGGACACATTGTAAGTATTTCACTAAATTGTCTATAAAAATATTTATGAAAATGATAGATAATATATTTTTTTAATAGTGAAATATGAGTTAATTCTACATTTATGATTAGCATATTCCGTAGTAAGCAAAGTAAAGAGACGTATGTTGCAGATGTTATAATTCCTTTACTTCAAGCAAGTTTAAGTGAGTTTATAAATGGCAGTATCTGCTTAATTATAGCAGAATATTAAAGTCTAGCAAGTAAAGCTCGACAAAATCTTAGAATAAATGAAGAGAGAATGGGAAAGAAATCTGATGTTATAGACTTGCTGAAACAAGATGAAAAGATTATTAAGCTAATGTATACCGAATCATCATATATCATATGTAGCAAATCAAAAAAAGTGAATGATGATATAAAATTATAGAGGGAAATATTGGATGGTACAAGTTTTGTAAATGCGCTATATAGACCAGCTAGAAATTAATTTGGGATTATAGGGATTCAAGTCACAGATACAACCATGTATCTAAATGTTCTTGTAAA